ACAACAACAGCAACAATAATAATAATAATAATAATAATAATAATAATAATAATAATAATAATAATTATTATTATTATTATAATAACAACAACGCAAAAGTGTGGGCGGCATCGATAATGTAGTGGTGAGGATACTGGACTCGTAATATCAAGATTGTGGGCTCAGGGGTTCGGGGGTCATCTCAACCCCTCGTTATCTCTTTGGGAAAGGCTCTTGCACAAATTTCCCTTTTGGCTCCGTACTATTTGAGATGGACAGTGAGTTCGAGGACCCAGTCTCTTAAATAACCTTACAGTGTTGTAAATGACTTTACAGTTGTGTACATACCAATGCCCCCCCCCCTCCCCCGTGGGTTGGAGGATTATATACATAGACCCACAACCCCGTCTGCAGGAGGTGAATCCCCTCCAATGACGAAATGTCGCACAAGGACCCCAGCCCTCTGGGATCCACATGCGACACCTTCTTTGGTGAATTATATTCCTCTTCTCCTTTCTTCTTTCTTTTTTTTCCTTTCTCTTCTTCCAACGTTGACCTCAAGTGCAGAAAAACTAAAAGTCGTCCATCCCAGAGAGTGTGCACCTCCGTTACCACCCAAGAAGTCCAGAAAAAAACCAAGTGTGATTTAAAACTCATTCATCTACAGACAAACACACGTCATGTCAGTAATCTAATCTGATCATTTTGTTTGATAGTATTTCTTTACCCTAAAGCTATTGTGTTCGAGAAAGTAAGGTTATTGAAATAAAAAATATCCAAACAAAATGAGTTTCAAGTGGATATAAAGCAAATAACCGAGAGCTCAAAGGGAGCTTTCACGATGATTTCATTAAAAAAGTTGAAAAGAAGTAGGGAAATCGTGACATAACTGACGGAGTTTCCTTTGAGTTACTGGCCTTGAAACCCGGAACTTTGGTGTAAAGATTAAAGAAAGTAAGACACGATCTCAGTTGGATTCACAAAAGAGGATATTATTAATATTATGTTTGTGTAAACTTTCTGATATGAATAAGGCCGCACCTTGGTCAGCTATAGAGCTGTATGTAGTGTAACGTGAATCATTCTTTAGAATCTTCTTGGTAAGGGTAATCATATCCGGGATGTCACGTTGTTTTCCAGGTGTGTTCGTTTCTGAAGAGGGTACACAGAGTCTAATGCCTGTTGATATATTATTCTTAATTCGTGCCGTTGTGCTGTCAAAGGGACCAGGCATCATTTTACCGTTTTAAATGGTTACTGGGTTTAAGGTTGCACTGAGTGTGTTGTTTTTCTTGCTGTTGCTGTTTTTCGTGGCGTTGGTATTGTTTCTTTTTGTTGTTGTTGTTGCTGTTGTTGTTGTTGTTGTTGTTGTTGTTGTTGTTGAGGTTGCTTTC